GAGTTTTTGCCGGAGTTTTCCAACTCCGGCAAAATATGCCGGAGCTCCGGGTCCGGCTCCGGCGCCCAGCTCTACCTTGTTGTCTGCATGGCATGCCACAATGCCAAGTGTCAACGTTTAAAAAAACTGCTTGCAACAGAGCTTCGTTTTTATGTGTAGTGGTGAATCACAACGAATTAGGACATTATATATTATATAATGTATATATATATATATTTATATATGAAATGTTATCGATTAAGAAATAGATTAAAACACATGCATTAATAATGTTGAAGGGTTTTGTAGATGAGAATATCCATGGCAAATTTTAATTGTTATACCTAACAACCAGCTGCTGGTGATAGCTTAATAAATGTATATTCAGTAACATTTACGCAATGTATATTCAGTAACATTTACATTTCAATCTTAAAAATCTTTCAACATTTAATATTAAGTTCTATCGAGTGAGATGCCAGAAATCCTGACATCAATATATACACTAATACATGCATGAGCCAATATGTCTAGACATAAAGTAGGGGTTTTAAATAGTTTTCACCAGCAAGTCAATGTCTAAAACCTTTTTCCTATATGAAACCATGATATACAGGGTGTATAAAAAAAAACGCAACCTCGGAATTTCCTAAGAAATCACTTTGCAATTCTTAAGCATAAAAGATTTTAGGCCCCTAGGAATTGAAATCGAATTGCTAATAGATCATATTACTGTTGTTGTGCATTAAATAAATGCATACATTTTGCTTTATGCACTCGCGTGTGCAGTAATTTTGACAGTTGTGCTATTTTAAATTGCCAGGCGCCTAAAATCTTTTGTCTTTAAAACAATGTCGATTTCTTGGGAAATTGCGAGGTTGCGTTTTTTTTTATACACCCTGTACAGCAGCTGATGACAACAAGGAAGAGGAAATAAATGAAATATATATACTTTTAAAATTAATTTTATTATTTAGTTGTTGCTCAGTCCCAACATGCAATGCCACCCGCTATAATACGGAAGATTTTTAATTTCAATTCTACATGCACTCATGCAATGGGCTAATTGGTCTTTTTGTTGTTATTAAGTCGTTATACCTTACTTTTATTTGAAATTCCTTTGTACTAATTAGAAGTCGCTCGCGCACAGCTGAGCGAAAACAAAACTGTCGAACATAATCTGCGTGAGAGTGCGCATTATATTAACATTGTCTAGGCGTGAGATTACGCAGGCTAAAATGTCGCATTGAATTTAAAGTTTGCGAAATCAGTAAACCTTGTGTATTTATAAGACTTAGCGAAATTTAGGGCCAATTTTGAATACATGCAAGAAAGGGAAATTGTACATATACATGCGTATACATTTTTGTATAGTATATATATGTGATGGCGGATGCTATACATTTCCTATAACATGTATTTTAGAAATATGAATCGGACGAACCTGTTTTTAACACCACTGCTGTCCAAATCACCAAAGGTTCGTTCCACGCAGACTTCACTTCAACACACGAGTGCCCAAGACAAAATGAAACTACTGACAATAGACCAATTAATATTGTATTTTTTTGCTGTTTCATACTCTTGGCCCATAATCCGCATACCTAAAACACGTTTTAAGCACTCGTGTTATTTATTAAAAGCTATGCAAATAGTTCATTTGACTCAACAAATTAATAATAGGTCAACTACAAATTTTATCAGGTTAACAACCCAAAATCTTATTACCTTTTCCAGCCTCTTTGGATAATCGGACCATTCGATATCCACATCATAGCAAGCATCCAAATTTCTTTCCGCAATTAACGCATTATTAGAAACAGCCATATTCATTAATTGTTTCTGCCCGATCTGCAACCTCTTTATGATGAACAGTTTGGTGAACTTTTAATATGGCCGTCCGGCCTTTCCCATTTTATGGGCGAAGACTCAGCAGGTGTTTTTCATTGCAAATCATGTTTGCGTGCGTTTCTAATGTTGCGTATGTCTCTATCGTTAAAACAATTCCGTGACGGAAGTGGAGCCTGGCTATTCTTATAGTTATGAATGTGTTAATTATGGGGGTGCATGTGTCAACAAATTAAATAACCTGGAATAATATTATGCTATAAATTGTCAGCGCTTTCACAAAAGATAAACCCTTGTCCGTTGTGGTTTGTCAGTTCATGAATTTATTGCAGGCCTGAATAGTTTTAATTGTCATAATATTATTCCTTTACACACAATGTTTGTGCACAATACGCGCGTTTTGAAATACTACGTTTCTCCACAGGCTGTGAAAACTTTAGAGAGGATATCCTGCATTAGCCTCCATTAACATGCCAGTTCGTATGTTGCACGGGCATGGAACAGTTAAAATGTATTTTTATTGAACAAGGTGACATTAAAATTCGTGCGTTTTGCAAAATCGCGCAAATTGTGTCGCACGAAATAAAAAGTTTGAAAGAATAATTAGCGTAAAATTATTTGCTGCTCCACTCGTGCGTGCGAAATAGTGCCTGTGGATCTGTGGTTTCCCACCACAACATAGTCATATTCCAATTTGTTTGACATATGTCAAACAAATTGGAATCGAAAGACAAGCAGTTTACTAATAATTCAATAATATAAATCTAACATGTTTGCTTATTGGCCATTAGGTTCGTTAATTGTTGCATCGAAATAAAGAATCAAATTATCTCATGCTACAAGCTATAACGATCCTGAGGTACTTCTGGCCTAGGAAGCTTGGCAAATTTGAATTAGGCAATATAGGCTAACACTATATAATCTAAGTGCGATTTTGGAGTTTTGATTCCTTTCAATGCGGGTGAATATATTGCATTTATGAGCCCTGAAATTAATTTAATCTTTGGGTGAAGGGCGAGAGAAAATTATTATTACGCAAATTTGAATTATATGTATTTTTATAAAGGAATATTTAGGGCTATATGAAAGATATAAATATGTTGTTGGTATAGTATTTGACATTTTTATAAGGTGTTAAATCTGGCGTGCTTGTTTACATGCGTGCACGACACCTTAAATGTTCAAATATTATCTCCGTTATTGCATGAGCGTAATATCGAGTGAAGCATATACATCGCTCATTTTTATTGAAAAAAATATGTGTGCCCATGTGATATCGATTTTAGCATGCCTGCACTATTGTATCTGCATGTATAGATTAGAGCTTGTCTAAAATATCCAATATAATAAACTATGAAAATCCCGCAAGAATTTTGACAACTTTATGTTAGTTTTTGTGCAAATTTAAAAAGTTGTTTATTAACTACCAAAATGGTGGACAATTTCTTGTACGTCTATTATAACATTAATTAAGTCAAACGCGCTCGGATTCGCACAAAGTGAAACTTTCTGACTTCTGCTAAGTATATGCATGTAAAAAACCAATGATGCATCATATCACTACGCGCATGGGAAATCCGTCACGCGCAGTGTGAAAAATTGTGCATGAAAGGAACCCAGGCAAACTATCAAGATTTTGTTGATAACCTCTTGGTTGAATAATAAACTCCCTGTGTAGATAAATTAATCTACACAATAAAAGTAGAGAACAACTCAAATTTTAAAAGCACCGTTTCGTGTCACAATATTAGTTCTGGCCATGGGTGTGATTTCCTTACCCATATTTGTCAATTAACAACTGTCAATGAAGATCAACTCTTCACTCGTCGTAAACCTCATGCAACGGAATTAAATGTTCATAATTAACCACGCGATTTATTTATGGAGCTGTGTATAGTTAATTTATATAGTTATTGTCGTCAGGCGTTGGTGAGCTATTTGCGTGAAAGTCAAAATACAGTCTAGGTTGTTGTAAAAACAAGTTCTTCAATGAATTTCTCTATTGAAAATCCTCTGAAAATGTTCCGTTTGCTTTATGTACTTAATCTAATTGGCACACCGGTACTTTATGCAAAGAGCGTTTTGAAAACTGCATTCAAGTTTGTTTGTGGGGAATATTCGGATCCTAGTGAAAATTCCGAAAAAGACGAGACATTATGTGATGAATTCTCTGCGTCTGTAGATAATCTTTTTCATTTGTTTCCTGAGATATCAAATTTTGTCACTGGAACAGCAAATGATCTTTTCAGAACATTTCATGATTTTTCTCTGGAGACTGGTATACCTGCAGCTGCAGTGCTAATGTCACAAAGAAAGGAATGTAGGAGATGTGGAAAACCCCTACAAATAGACCAAAATTGGAAATCCATTGTCGTGTATCACCTTACTCGTGGGACCTATCTTGGTTGTCGTCTTTCGAAGAAGTGTTCTAAGTGCAAAGTATATGAACATTATGGTTTTTTTACTGAAAATGGCCAAAGAACGTTTGATTCAGATTGCTTAAACAACGAGTTTCTGATGAGCACAGACGAGACGGCGATAGATATGATGTTACTTAAATATGTAAATGAGGATATCATTCAGGGAGCTGTTTCATTTTTACTAAAGTCTAAAGTTTACAACACTGTTCACGGGTATTCTCACACAGTCAACGAAAACACAACAAGCGAACCACCAGTCCTTAACAGTAGCCAGGAGGCGAAGAAGAGGTATTTATCAAATGCATTAATTATCAATTATTTTAGTTGGTATATCAGGTAATTGTTAAATCATGATTACACGAGTTACTACAATATTATTCGGAAATCTTATTAGTGTATACTACATGCATGTATACATTTATTTCGGCATGAAGAGATTGTATATTGATGTTAAATGTGCATTTGTTAAGTGTACCAAACAGTTAGAATAATCTATATTTCGTTTTGCCTTTGAGGGAATTTTCTTTCATATATTCATTCATTACACTTTTTTTCCAAAATAGGAAGTTCTGCAGAAGTATGGATATGAAGAGCAAAATAGCCGGTAGATTGTGTTTGGATAGACGTCGTCTGGAAGAAGCCTTCTTACTTTATGCTATTTTGAAAACTCATTTCAAATACGACCTAGGACTCCGTCATATTAATCATGATCGAAATGACTTATTGCGCAATGTAGTTGACACATTTAAAGAGAAATTTGAGTCAAAATGGACTGGTGAGTATGTACTATATGTTGTTTCTAAGGCCGCACACATGCATTGATACATGCACAGTCCACAATTTTAGCCGGCCGATTTCTGTCTTAAGTCTATGCATGGTATTTAACAGTGAGCTTGTCCGATGATACATATTTTCTTGTTTTAACCTTCCACATATTGTCTGACTAATGTCGTAGCATATAATTATGCGCGCAATATAAATTTAGATACCTTTTACTCAACAGGCCACAAATGCGAACAAAAAGGGTGTGGTACCGTTCTAGTGGCAGATGGCAACATGAAAAATGCACGTACAGTTTGTAGTGTCAAAAACGTTGGTCAATTAATATTTGAAGGAATAGGAAGCGTTGCAGTTGGTAAGTTTTTTTCAAACATACTATGATTCGCTTCCAACATCATACAATAATTACATTAAAGAAGCTGGGACACTACAACAGATTAACAATTACAGTTTACACGAGCAGGAGGGTATCATCGGATAGTTTTATACAATTTATGGATATGATAATGTGATATAATATGTGCTGCGACATTCAGAAGCAAGGAATGTGTTTGTATGTTCATCAGAATGAATTAGGAATAGATTTGTAAGTTCGCCAAAAAGAATTGGTCACTGGCAGTGTAAAGAGCTGAGGAAGCATATTAAACACTATACATGTACGGCGGCGTGTTCCAGTGAAAGCATGATGTTTCTATTTGCGATTCACAGACACCATGTCCATGTCTAGCTATTAGTCCTATGATAAATTGTACGTGAATGTTCATGTCTCTTAAAGCGCACTGCATGTCAATAACCTACTTCAAGTAAGAATGTATATGGAAGAGGTTAATATGTCAATGAACACAAGATTATAGCCCCTAAAAGATTTATACACACGTTCAAGACCCTTCCGTTTCTTTCGAATTTTGATGTCATCATGTATGAATTTTTATCGATCACTATGCAGAAGTAAATTCAAACGCCTTTTTTTTCATTTAAGATTCAAATTACGATGCTTATTTGATCTGTGTTTTGGTTATATATGATACTAATAACCTTAATACACATACTAAATACATATTTTTGCTTAGTATTCAACTCGCACTGAGTCACGGCTAAAGTTCGATCAAATCACATGTGCTGCCGAAATTGTTATAAATATATGTATATTCTATTTTTGTTATCTTTAAGGTTGCCAGAACTCACCAGCCTTTCAGAGTAGGGTTTGCGTAGATCATCAACGAACAGCGCGTTCATATGTTAATGAAGACGAATGTTCCTTAACGTCTCAGAATGTCCAAGATTCACCCGAGGAATATTTGGCAATTCAAAAAATCTTGAATAGCAGAAGTACTAGACAGGGTCGACTTCACGAGGTAATTGCGTACGGTACGCTAATCTGCATCGTGTGTATATATGCATATATCGCGGGTGACGCAAAAATGTTCCCCCTCCTTGACTTATTGTAATTAAAGAAGTAAAGAAGCCATCTTATTGAAATAAAATATATAGTGAACGCAGCAATGGGGTGTAATTCAGATTTTGATGTGCGCTTTGCACATTTCTATAAAATATTAGCCAAGATATAGGCGTTTAAATCCAAGATAGTATTTTTGTGAGGAGGGGAAAATGACCATTTTATTATACCATACCGAAATTAATAGCCCATTTTAGACCCGATTTTCCGCTTCTTCCAAAATCGCTACCTCGGTAGTGTAAACGCCTATATTTTGGCTAATATTTTATAGAAATGTACAAGGCATATATCAAAGTTTTACTTTAAATTATTTTATTTTTATAAGGTAGATTAGTTTTTAATCTATGAGAAATGGATCATGCATGCACAAATTACCAGGGGATTGGCATGGGCGTATGTACGGAAAGGAAAAAATTATGGGGCTGAAAGAAATTTGCTCAACTTTTTCGGATTGTGCCCGAGTTGTCAAAAAAAAAATTCCGTAGAAACTTTCCGAAAATGTTGTCGACGGGGGAGGGAGTAGTGATTACGAAAAAATCCTATTAGATAGCATATTTTTCACAAAATTGACAGTATTTCCCACAAAATTGTCAGAATTTCCCACAAAATTGACAGAATTTCCCACAAACTTGACAGAATTTGTCCCATTTATTTTCATATAATAAGCCAATATTGCCCGACTGTGAAGCGAATATTGCCCGACTGTGAAGCGAATATTGCCCGACTGGCTTTGTTTGCCCAACAAACTGGTGGGCTGCCGCCCCCTCCGCCCCCCGCCAGGTACGCCCATGGGGATTGGCACTATAGTTAATAATTCAAATAGCTTATTTATTGTGTCATTTCTTAATTATAGGTTAAATGGTCCGATGGTAAAGTGTCATGGGTACGAGAAGCCAGCCTTCCTCCAGCGGTTAAAGAAGCGATTGATTCCAAAGTAACTATTTTAAAAGCTACACCAGTCAGAGAGTTTGGAGTTTCGCGTTTAGTATTGTGCGAGGGGAACGCAACACAAAAAAATGAAGACATTCTGTTAACTAAGTAAGTTTATGGTTGCTAAAATGCATATTCTTTGTTTGCATCAAGTCACTTTTCATCCAAATGACTGGCAATTAAAACTGAACTTGTGTAAGATTTTTTTCCTATCAGAATGGTTGTAGCAAGAAAGACTGCTCGGTAGCCATCTTTGGAGTCTTAAGTTGTCTCTAAACTCAGTCAATGCATTGAAATAGCCGTTATCTGTTCACCTGCCGCCAACTGAAATCATAAAATTACGTCAATGCGAACAAAAAATCTGTATAGGGCTTTTGAAACCAGAATGATTTAACAACTCCGTATTGGTGATTGACTGCTTAACGTCACGAGCAATAGCAATCTACGGCTTGTGTATAAATTGTATTCCAATGCGTTAACAGGTATATATGCATACCTGTCTGAAATATAGCTTTTAAAAATGCATATGGTTTCCATGCTGCAATTACCTGTCACTTGTCTGAGCAATTGTCACTTGTCTGAGCAATTACCCGAAAGTTATCTGCCAACTGTTTGGCAAGGAGCGTTGTATGTTGTGCCAATTTTATTAATTCTGTTCCAGACTTGCCAGCTGGATTTCCCCAATCACACATGCATGCGTGGAAATAGTTTCACTTTGTTACGGCACGTTTTCCATGTCTAATTGATGTACTCTAATATTATAGTTATGTGGCCGGATATTGTTTATTAATGGCGTCGTAAATTGTGCCTATCATAGTACTGATTTTCAGTATGTCAGTTATATATATTGTTTCGAAATTATATAGTTTATTTTACCCGAGTGCCTTATGCCACGGTTTTCGAACATTTGGAATACTATGACTAACGTACACTGTAATTAGACTGTTGTGTGTCTTTATTTCGCGACTTTTTTTCTATTAAGCAATGGGTTTGCTGTTTCCTCAACAACTGATGATTTGTTTTTCGACGCCGATGGTACTGCCCGTCGCTTATCCTGCGGAACTGAAAAGGAGAAGCAAAAGGCCAAAAATCTGAAAACCGCAGGTAAATAGATGCTGATCATTATATGATTTGAATTTAGTAAATTTTGCATGCAATTAAGTGTCCGATTTAGTGTAGAGATAATGTGTATTGTGTATATGTGACCAAACTTGCATGATATTTCCTTCAACTGAGCCTGAGTTCTCACGCGAGAACCAGCCGCCCAGGCTGGGAGATTATATTTGTGACTTATATATAATTAATATCGAAAAGATGTATGTATTACTCGATTTCATCAAAATCACTACGTCTCATGTCGTAAATTCATGCATGTTAGTAAGTTTTTGTTTGTTAACTCATCTTAACTGCATGCATGTTGTTGGCTTTCGGGCGTCATTGCCATTAATTGATATTTCAATTTTAGGCTGTTTAGTGTTTCAATGGCCATGTGGAGTCATTGTGTCCGTAGACGAAATGTTCAACTGCGAGTCCAAAAGTCAAGTGTATGGACATTTGCATCGCCTTCTGAAAGAAAAGCAAC